GGGTGACTAGGATTTGGTCCTGGGGACATATTCCTGTTGAATTCATCTATTTGTTCCAAAGTCTTTTCTACCGACACATCGATTTGAGGCAGTACCTCAGATACCTCCCCCACCCGAAAAAAAAGGTTAGCTTCCAGGGCAAGATGGGGAGTTCTTCTCCCACATCCTCTGCAGTGGAGGCCAATGCATAGAATTCTTTTAGCGTCTCTGCAACGTCCTTGTCTTCCTTGAGTGTTCCTTTTGCATCTTTGCCATCTCCTGACTGTTTGGCAGGTTTCCTGCTTCTGGTGGACTTCAAAAATACGTGCGCTTTTTTTTTCCCTCTTTAAGCAAGCTGTGGCTCAGTTTTTGGCCCCCCTAGCCAGCTACACTTTCACACTTAATATTTTGCTCATTCCTCTTAGCCTCGCTAGCACTTGATGGAAAGGATGCCTTTTTGCTGATAACCACCTCCTTGACTCTGTGGTTTTGCAATGGGGGATGTTTAGCTGGGCCTGCCTGGCTTCATGGCACTGGGGCATATGTTTAGTCTAAGCTCTTCGTAGGGCAGGGGGGAGGCTGAAATAGTTTCCCTGCTGCTTGGGGAAAACTCCTTGTGATGTAACGTACTGGAGGAGGGTGGGTGTGAGCGCATAAGTGTGGATCCCATTCAGACCAGGTGTTGAGAGGCCTGGTGGGGCTGGGCAGTGCCCCATAACCAGCAATTGCTCTGCTCCCATGCCCATGGCACTGCCGGATGCCTAGGATCAACCAGCTGGCTGAGGGAGCAGGACCTAGAGCTGAGCTGGTCTGGGAAGGAGGTAGTTTCCCCCAGAGCAGGGCCAGGAGCCCCTAATCTTGGGGGCTGGGGCAAAAGCCAGGAGAAGAGGTGGGGCTGCCCCTGGAGAGCAGAATGGGCTTGCAGGGGGCCTACTGTAACAACTGGAGGCCTGTTGCTAAGGGGGCTTTACCTGAACTCCGACTGCCCCTACTCCCAGCCTGGGCAGCGTCCTGAGCATGGGGGGAGCCCAAGGGTGGGGGAGCAGGGACTTGATCAGAGCTAGGGCGAGAGATCGGGGTGGGGGGCACAGAGGGGCATCAATCTTTGCCCAGCCCTGCTGCCACGTCTGCTTTCAGCGAACAGCAGTGGTGTCCTCAGTGGGGCAGGTGCTTGACGGGGGCTCGGTCTGGCCCCAGCTAGTTCAGGCTGTTGCTGGGCCCGGTGCAGCCTGGTGCAGCCAGCCCGAGAACCAGGGGCAACATTGGCAGCGACTCACTGCAGCGCTGGGGGCAAGGGGAGTAGGAGAGCCAGGCCGGGCTGCTGAGAAATGGGTCTTTATAGACTATGGACCAGAAATGGCGAACGGGTCAGCAAGCTGCCGGCGGGGTGCTCCGAGCTGGCTCCAGCGCCTGTGTGGGAGGGAGAAGCTAAACTTCACGCCCTGCCCACCAGCACCAGAAGCGTGAAGATACCTGCCTCTCTGCACGGCCACTGCCCAGCCGCCGTGTGAGCAAAGCCCCAGCGTCACCGGCCCGGCGCTAGCCCCACCGAGCTGGGCGCACACAGAGCCCTATGCCAGCCGCTTCCCTTCGCTACCGCAGGAGGGGGGAGACAACCACTAGGAGCCACGGCTCTGCCGCTGAACCATGCCAGGGCTGCCACCCACCCCCCACTCCCAGCCCTATGGCACCACAGCACCACCACCCCCCCGGGCAAGTCGCCCTCCTGACCGGTCTCTGCCAAACTCCAGTCAGCTTGGAGCCTTCCGTGTGCTGCAGGCACCTGTCCTGTGATCACACGCAGGGGGGAGGGTGGGTGTCTCATATCACAGCCTGCCACACTGCTCCAACCAGTCCCCCCACCCAAGACAACCCCCACCCCAGCAGACACTGCCTGCCAGCCCCTGCTCTGCACGAGCGGCGGGGGAGCAGTGAATACGGCCAGGGAGAGGACGACAAGAAGAAACCAGAGTGAGGAATGGAGCAGGCAGGGAAGATGGGGGCAGGAGTTGGATGGGTGAGAGCCAAGCATCCCATGCTTTCTAGATGTGGATTTCCCAGTAGCCTCTGCCCACGTGCCCCTGGATTCGCTTGTGGTGAGGCGGAAGGGGCCAGGACACAGCTGTGTCCACAGATTCCAGACCGGGTCCCCTTCCTCTTGTACAGAGGGGAAACCGAGGCACTGCACCGCTGCAGGCACTTCAGCCCACCCGCTACATCGTCCCTTCGCCTAGGAGGGAAGACGGAAATTTTGGGCTGTGTGCTGGCAGCAGGGCCAGGTTGGGGTACTGCCCTACTCCACCCCACTGCCCTAGAGTCCTGGCTCTAGCCCAGCCTCTTCAGGATCTGTGCCCCTTTGCCAATGCTCCGGCATGGCGAGGGCCAGAGCCTGGGGCAATGTACATCCAGGCCGGTCCCCCAGTTCCTGCCCTGCTGTTTCCAGCTGGTTGAGGTGTACATGGGGAAGTGGGGGGGGGGGGGCCCTTGTCCCTCCCCCCCAGGCCATTTCCATCCAGGATTGGAACCAGCCCCCAGACCTGATTCCCCCTCCCCAAACATACCTGGTGCATGGGGGGGGGGAGCCCACTCCCCTCCTCTAACCCCCCCCCATCTCCTATGGCATTCCCTCCCTCCCACATTTGGGGGTAGCAGGGATCCAGCCCCCAAAGGATTCTTACCATTGTGAGGGGGCAGCCGCTGGCAGGTCCCTGTGACTGGTGGGGAGCAACACAGGCATGCGGGTGTGGGCGGGCGTTTCCCCCCCGCCCATCCAGCCCACAGCACCGGGGAGCAGCTGCAACAGCGGCCAAGGGCTGTGCAGGCCCCAGCGGGGCAGGGGGGGAGAACTGTATGCAAATGAGTCAGCTGAGCACGTGGCTGCTGGTAGACCACGGCTTGGCCCCTCTGCCCATCCCACCCACTTGGGCCGTGCCCCAGAGTGCAGCCGAAGGAGAGGAAGCTCACGAAACTCACGGCAGCAGCGGGATAACTCCCCCCCTGCCCGAGCAGGGCCGGGTTCCAACGCGGGACAGGCAGGGCACCGGGGTACAGCTGGGGGAAGTTGGAGCCGCAGAAGGGCAGGTGGGGGAGGCAGCCCCCGTTTCTGCAGGGGCTGCCTCTGGGGACTGGGGCTCCCTTCCCTCAATCATCACGTGAGCTCAGGCCCACCTGGCTGTCTCAAGGGGAGCACACAGCTGGGAGATGACGCTCATGGTTTTTTCCCCCCTCCAAGGAGGGTCAACTCCCCACGACGCAGATCCTCCTCCGGGCACAGCACAAGGAGCGAGGAGCAGGCACAGGCGGAGAGGGGCCAACAGACTCAGGCCCTGGAGAGGGCCGGGCCAGGCGTGCCCAGCACAGGGGGCGCTGAGCTCTGCCCTGCTGCCGCCAGGGAGACAGGGGCAAGTGCTCCGAGGCAGCGCTCAGGGCTGAGCAGACTGGCTCTGACTTCACCCTCCCAGCACCATGCTGTGCTCACTGCAGCCTCCTTTTCCTGCCCGCCTCGGCCCTGCAGCTCTATCGGCTCGTCAGCCCCAACCGCGGGTTCCCTGTCTTCCCCGCAGGGCCCCTGCCTGCGCCTGCGACAGGAAGGACCGTGAGCACAGCACATGGGTAGGAAACCATCTCCTCCCCTTTCCTCATGGCTCCCACGGCAGGGGGACGTCCCACTTGACCCAGCCCCTCTGGTGGGGGGCGCGCTGCCCCAGGGACTACCTCTGCCCCTGGGCTGGACTGGAGCTCTCTCTGCAACAGCCATGGGGCCAGAGCAGCCAGGCTCTGCAAATGGCCCAGCCAGAGCCACCAATGAAATCAGGAGGCACCCGCCGTGGTCTCCAGGCTCAGGGCGATGGGGCTACTGGGGGGGGGCCAGCGAAGGGCACTACTGAGATAACCAGCCCCTGCAGGAGGGGGCTGCCTGGGGCCACACGCTGCCGGGTTGCACTTTCCTGGGGAGCAGCCCTTGCAGCAGGCTAAGCCCTGTTGTGCTGTGCAGAGGCAGGGAGATACACACTCCCCCAGGGCAAAGCCAACAGCTGTGTTTCAGCACCGCTATGTGGGTGCTGCCGGCCCAGGTCCCCCCCCCCCCGAGCCAGCTCCGCTCCTAGCCCGGGTTCCATGCAGCTCTTGGGGCCCAGCCCCTAGCGCGGGGGCTGGAGCACGGGGCCCTCAGGGGCCCAGGAAGACAGCCTAGCCCACGCCTTTCTTATAAAGACCTTTATTTGGAATGAAAATAGAGCTCTGGCCCTGCACAGGGCTGTGTGTTTCTCTCCTTCCTTG